ATTACTTAAGAGTAAGGGCAAAATAAAGACATTATCAGACAAAGTCTAAAGAAATAACTCAGAGACTCATGGAATATATGTAAAGATATACTTTGGTATAAACAAAACCAAAGATAGAAGGAAAGAGGGGAGCAAATAAATGGGTAAATGTTGCTAAACTAAAATGAGCACAAGATATAAAAAACAATAACAGTGGCACAGGCAGTTAAGTGACCAACTATTGATTTCACCTCAGGTCATGATCTCAGGGCTGTGAAATGGAGCCTCGTGTAGGACTCTGTACTGAACATGGACCTTGCTTAAGATTCTCTCTTGGGGCACCTGGGTGGCTGGGTGGTTGAGCATCTGCTTTTGGCTTAGGGAGTGACCCTGGGTCCTGAGATGAAGTCCCACATCTGTCTCCCTGTGGGGACCCTGCTTCTCTCTCTGCCCATGTTTTTGCCTCTCTCTGTGTCTCTCATGGATACATAAATAAAAATCTTAAAAAGAAAAAAAACAAAGAAAACCTACAGACTAAATGAATGGAGGAAAAAGAGGACCCCTCCCCTCAAAAAGCAAAAAGGCAAGGTTAATAGAAAACACAAAACAAGATGGCAAGAATACATATAAATGTAAAAGTAAGCCAAAAATGTAAGTGGATTAATTTACCTGTTGACTCAGATTCTCAAATGGGTTTTAAAATATCCTGCTGTATTCTGTTTACAAGACACAAGTCCCAAATATAATGTCATAGGTTTGAAGTAAAAGGATGAAAATATTATTGAAAATATAAAGACAGAAAGCAATATCAGAGATAATAATATTAAATATTAATATTTAATGACAAAAAGGAAATTTATCAGGAAACAATATTAATTCTGAACCTATACATCACGAGCAGCATAGCCGCAAAATATAGAAAATGTAAGTGGAATTTCTATTCAATGCTACTACTATGTGGATGATTGAAAGGCTATTGCTACTTGTCAAAATGGAATTAAACGTTAGCATAAGCAAGACTCTTGTCTAAAGTTAGCTTTTAAAATTTTTCTATTATGAATAAACTTTGGTTGCAATAAAATACTATCTTAGATGCACACAGACACACAAATACATACTGCTTTAACATACAAAGTACTCAAAAATAAGTGTATCATAGGCAACTTCTCAAGGTGTTTAGAGTGAGGAAATTTGATTGCATTAAATAACAACCTTTTACTTGTACCTCATGGGCATAGAAATAGCAGTTAGATTTCAAATGAGGCTACCTACATATTCATTAGATATCTTAGCACTGCCAGTTACTAGATTATTGAATTTATTAAGATTTCATAACAAGAATAAAAGTTATAAGATAGATTGATTGTAAAAGTTTATAATTGAGAAAGTTAGCAAATTCCTTAGGCTTCCCTCACTTAAACTGAATTCCAGAATTTTTTGTTACATTTTTCTGAAAACTCTCTCATGCCCTCTGCTGTCCATTTATTGAATATCAATTATTAAATAAAGTAAAATCTTCATGGGCATTTACATTTAGATTGGAAGACATCCTCCATCTATTTCATTATTTGAGTTAGTCTTAGGAAACAATATATTTTAAGAAGTGCTTTTAAAATGTTTAAATTATAGGGATGCCTGGGTGGCTCAGTGGTTGAGCATCTACCTTTGGCTCAGGTCCTGATCCCAGAGTCCTGGAATCAAGTCCCACATCCCCGCAGGGAGCCTGCTTCTCCCTCTGTCTATGTCTCTGCCTCTCTCTCTCTGTGTCTCTCATGAACAAATAAATAAAATCTTTTTTAAAAGGTTTAAATTATAAACGTAATATGTGTTTATGATTGAAAACACACAAAAAATGAAATGATTGGGATCCCAAGTGGGTGGGAGCAGTCTTGTGAAACTGAGCTCTTAACTTGTGGGATCTGACACTATTTGCAGGTAAATAGTGTCAGAATTAAGCTAAACTTCAGAACACCCCGCTGGTGTCTCAGAAAATTGCTTGTTGTGGAGAAAACCCCAGACATGTGGTAGCCAGAAGCATCAGAAGAAGTGTTAAAGTTATACTTATAACTTCTTATAAGTTATAAGAAGAACACTTATAAGTGTTATAATGGTAGTAGTGTGAGAGTAAAGGAGAAACACACAGTAGAATTGGAGTTTTCCTTTACAATTATTTTATGGAAGAGTTCCCCTATCAGTGAATTGTCTTCAAAATATAATTTTTAAATTGCTGCATAATATTCCAGATGTTTACTGATTTATATAACACTTACTATTTTGGGACATTTAAGTTGCCTAAGTAATTCTATAATAAACAAAATTCCTTGAATGTAAGTTTTTTTTTAATATCCCTAATTTTATGCTTACATTAAATCCCCAAAAGTATAATTTCCAGGTCATGGTTGCACATATTTTTAAAGTGCTTTATGCATACTGCTGAATTGAACTCTGTAAAGTTTGTAATAACTTACACTGCCACCAGCAATATATATTCACGACTACAGGAATGTTGTTTTTTTTTTTTTAAACTGAAGATGTAAAAATATCTTCCAAGTCAGCTTTAAGGGGAAAAAGTTACATATGATTCTCCATTCATTTGGTGAATAATCATTTTTCTTCAAAGGTGTCAGGAGGATCAAGGACCTTTTCAGTACAGTGGGAAGAGGGCCAGACCTTAATTGTTTAATCTTAATCTTTCTGAATTTGTTTCTTCATCTATAATGTGAGGATAATAACATTTGCCCTGATAAACTTAATGTTTTATAAGGATACTATAAGATGACACGATTTGAAAACTATAATATCATATAGATGGAAGGTAGTATTTTTATTAGTCATCATTGACATGTGGACAGATTTGATACATAAGTCATGTATCCAAAAAACGTATTTTTAAAGTATCAATAACTTTTTAATATCCTATAATGTTATATCATTTTCTCCATTTTCAAACTCATATAAATAGAAAAGTAGTGTTTCAATTATCTTTATTCGAAATTTATTTCTTTCAAATAAATTTATTTGAAAATAATCAATGATTTTGCACATAGACAAGTATGGTTCAGTTGACAATTCCATGAACTTAGTTTGTTCCAGAAAATGAAATAGAAACAAAATGATCTGCTAGGTATTCCTATATAACCTAAAAATATTTGGCATGTGTACACAAATGTTAGTGCATTCTCAACTTGCTTAAACCAATGCCTTTTTCAAATTTTTTTCAAAATTATCCCCGTGGGTTTTCATTAAAATGACACTTTGAAGATCTGTCTGAATAATTACGACCAAATGAAACACAAAGCCAAGGACAGAGCTAGTATTCAGTGGGAACACGGTGAACCTAAAAGCTAGCACCTATCATGAGCCTTCACTAAGAGGAAGAATAAGGAGGGAGAAAGAACTAGGAGGACAGAAAAGAAGAAAGGATAACTTGTGAAAGCACTGAATTTTAAAAAAAGATAATGGCTAGCAGAGAACCCTGTGACCTGGGCCCATGTGGACTTTAGACCAGTTCATTAGTACTTTAGTCCATCTCTCTATCACTATACCTCCCAGTAATTCCACTTATTGCACTTTTGCCATGGGCTTCAGTTTGTTTGTTTGTTTTTAAAGATTTATATATTTATATGGGAGGAGGGGCAGTGGGAGAGAATCTTTAAGCAGACTCCCTGATGAGTGGGGAGTAGAAGTGGGGCTTCATCCCAGGGCCCAGGAATGATGACCTAAGTGGAAACCAAGAGTCAGACGCTAAACCGACTGAGCGCCCCTGGGCACCCCAACAAGGGCTTCAGTTTTTTAAGACACTCAGTTTCGGCCCTTGCATTTTATTCAATGTCACTGCAGTCTGTCTTTACTAAGGACATAGGGAATACCTGGTAGGAAGAGAAAGGGGTACAGAAAGGGAGAGATATGCAGGGAAGCAGGAAATAAATCTCGTGGGGCTTTTTTTTCCTTTATTAAATTGCCTGCAGAATAAAAGGTAAAAGAGATCTTAAAGAGTCATTTAGTACAATCCTTCTTCATCTTAAAACAGAAGCAGATTCAGGTGACCCAGATAAACCAATGATAGAGCCAGGAAAATAAGCAGTCTCATGCTCTTCCCATTGCACTGTGTTGACTCTTTTTTCCTTATTTTAGTTTTTTTTTTTTCCTAAAACGGGGGGAGGGCGTCATTTGTAGCCAAAGAGATCAATGCTTCTGTCGACACAAGCTCTGATCTCTCAGATATTTCTTGGTTACTAGAATCGATGCTCTCCCTAAAATAAAAATACAGTAATTTACACTGCAATTTTGCAGCCTGTGCATAGAGTTCACATCCATTACCTTATTTGATCTTTGCAAAAACTTTTTGAGGCAAAATAAGGAAAGTATTATTGACCTCATTTTAATAAAAAGAAATTAAAACGCTGAGACATCCAATAACTGGTTTAAGATCGCTTAGGATCAGGAAGGAGAAAGGACTCTATTGCTATTTCTATACTTGCTATCAAAGAGGGCGTTCCATTAAAAAAAAAAAAAACTACCAATCTGGTTTCTTATTTTCTTGCCCAGGGATTCTCCACCCCAGGGTATCCCGCACTAGTTTAGTGAAGTTTAGATCTAACCACCCACTGGGGGTACTCTAGTTTGCATCCAGATCTCACCTTTTAAAAGGTTTCTTACCCCTTAACTTGGTCCTGATCCTCCTTTAGGTTCCTGTTTTTCTCGGTAAATTAGGACCTCCCGCGTCTCACTCCAAGCCTCTACCCAGTCCAAAGGAGTCGCGTCCTTGGTAGCCATGGAAACCACGCAGTCCTGCCCACCGTGCTCCTTCCGCGCTTTCCATTGGCCAGTTGGATATCTGAGTAGCTCTCCCCCTCCCTCCTCCAATGGCTAGTGGGCACCTGCTCCAACTCCCCCTTCTGCCCTGCGCGTTGCCTCCTGGGATATGTGGTTTCTAAGCGGCCCGGAGCCCCACGACCTGTCTCCCCTTTAGAACTACCAATCCCATGCGCCTTTGCGAAAGGGGAGGACGCGGGCAGGGAGTGCCGGGGTCCGCGTGGATACTTACTGTCGGGGGCGGCGTGCGCGGCTGAGGGTTTAAACTGCCGACGGAAGTGAGCGGTCTTGCTTCGGCAAATCTTCGCGAACGTCCGCCTTTCCGAGTTGAGGCGGGCAGCGGCCGGGCGGCCCGGCCTGCGGCGGCGGCGGCGGCGGCGGCGGCTTGAGGGAGCGCGAGAGGGGCGCGCCATGTTCGCCCGGCGCCCTGGCTGCGGGCTCGGCGGCCTGCGGCTCAGCCCGCTCGGAGTTGGGGCGCGCGGAGCTGGCCCGGCCCGGCCGCACGGCGGAGACGGAGACGGAGGCGGAGGCGAGCGGCAGCCGTGCTCCGAGCCCCCGCCCCCGCCAGGCCCCTCGCGCGGGAGCCTGAGGGCGTGGGCGCTGCGGGTGAGCCCGCTCGGCCGGCTGCGCGCGCGGCTGCCGTGCCACGTGACCGTGCGGCCGCTGGACCCGCTCGCCCACCCGGCGGGCGACCGCGTGCTGGTGGCGCTGCGCGCCGCGGAGGGCGGGGCGCGGGCCCCGGGCGGGCTGCGGCTGGAGCGCGGCGGGGCGCCGACGGAGGTGGCCGTCGTGTCGGACGCCCTCGACCCCGGGGCGTCCGTGGACGTGAGCGCGCCCCTGCAGTTTGGCAAGTGAGGGGGGGAAACCGGGTTGGGGTCCTGGGGCACAGCCCGAATCTGACCTCAGGCAGGTGTGCACTTTTTTTTTTTAAGATTTTATTTATTCATGAGAGAGAGGCAGAGACCCAGGCAGAGGGAGAAGCAGGCTCCATGCAGGGATCCCAACGTGGGACTCGATCCTGGGTCTCCAGGATCAGGCCCTGGGCTGAAGGCGGCGCTAAATCGCTGAGCCACCCGGGCTGCCCAGTTGCGCGTTTCCTATCGCTCCCCCGTGCAGCTGATGCGCGCTTCCTATCGCTCCCGCTGCAGCTGATGTGCGCTTCCTATCGCTCCCGCTGCAGCTGATGCGCGCTTCCTATCGCTCCCCCCTGCAGCTGATGCGCGCTTCCTATGGCTCCGCGCGCTTCCTATGGCTCCCGCTGCAGCTGATGCGCGCTTCCTATCGCTCCCTCTGCAGCTGATACGCGCTTCCTATGGCTCCCGCTGCAGCTGATGCGCGCTTCCTATCGCTCCCTCTGCAGCTGATACGCGCTTCCTATCGCTCGCTCTGCAGCTGATGCGTGCTTCCTATCGCTCTGGGTGCACCTGATGCGCGCTTCCTATCGCTCCCGGTGCACCTGATGCGCGCGTCCTATCGCTCCCTCTGCAGCTGATGCGTGCTTCCTATCGCTCTGGGTGCACCTGATGCGCGCTTCCTATCGCTCCCGGTGCACCTGATGCGCGCGTCCTATCGCTCCCTCTGCAGCTGATGCGTGCTTCCTATCGCTCTGGGTGCACCTGATGCGCGCTTCCTATCGCTCCCTCTGCAGCTGATGCGCGCTTCCTATCGCTCCCGGTGCACCTGATGCGCGCGTCCTATCGCTCCCTCTGCAGCTGATGCGTGCTTCCTATCGCTCCCGGTGCACCTGATGCGCGCTTCCTGTCGCTCCCTCTGCAACTGACTCCCTGGCCTAATAACTCAGTTGCCTCCCGCCCACAGAGTTTGCTTTTTTTTCTGTTCTGCTTTGCGTGGCCTGGTGAAAGGCAGACACCAGGTTCCCAGACGATTTATAGATCCACGGGAAGCGTCGTCTGGGATCCTCTAAGTCACCTATTCTCGGAACCTTTGTGTCCTTCTTTGGCACATCGTTCCTGTTTTTCTACCCTGGTTTCTAAACCGCTGGGCCACCCGGGCTGCCCTGTTTTTCTGTGCCTGCACTTTGTCGATGGCAGACTGGTCTGCTTTCCAGGGTTGAGGCGTGTTGGCTGCCCCACATCTCCCCTTGCCCTCCAGCCTGCGCTCTAGGACGTGACACTTCTACCTCGGACCACGTGCTGGATTTCACGTAGGCTCCTAGCTTCTTACTGATCTCTCTGTTTTAAGTTCTCCGTTGAGTAGCAGTGTTTGGAAAACAAAAACACAGGAAAACTGCCTTGGAGGCGTCATTCGACCGTGCCTGCAATGCTTTTAGGTGTTCGGGTTCCATGATACTTAACCAAATGCAAGCCAGTGTGTATGCATTTTCCTAGTAAAGTCACCCCAGGCTCCCCTTCCCCGGACTGAAGGGTGACACTGATGATGATGATGATGGTCATAGCACCTGACGCTTAGAATCCTTTCTAATCCTTAGGATTGCACCCTACAGTAGTTACTGTTATTAGCACCATTTTACATAAGGAAATTGAGATACAGCAAGTGTCATAAAGTAAGCATTTATTGTGGGTGAACGAATCCGTGCCTTCACGACACGGATTCTCGGTAGGTCAAAAAAGATGTGTGTTCTCTCTCGGATATAAAGTGGTGGAAAATTGAACTGATTGGAATCTGCTCAACCACTATGCTTTACTGCTTTCCAACTTCTGTAAACTAGCCTAGGAATAAAGGATCCTGGGCAGCCCGGGTTGCTCAGCGGTTTAGCGCCGCCTTCCTCCCGGGGTGTGATCCTGGGGACCCCGGATCGAGTCCCGCGTCGGGCTCCTTGCATGGAGCCTGCTTCTCTCTCTGCCTGTGTCTCTGCCTCCCTCCCTCTCTCTGTTTCTCTGTGTGTGTCTCTAATTAAATAAAGTCTTTAAAAAAAAAAAAATTAGAAGATCCTGCCCTCACAATGTACCAGTCTGGGGTAGGGAGGAAGGTTTGCCAGTATGTTATTTATCATAATAAAAAATGCACTGAGTATTGAAATAGAGTAAGCAAGGTTTTACGGTAACAAAGAAATGGAACTATCTGTGCTGCTGGTCTCAAACCTCATTATTTGCAGATTCTTCTTTTTAGAGCCAGAATCCCATTTCCAATTTACTGCCTCTAGGTTTCTGTTAAGCTTCTCAAATCAACATAATTCCATTTTCTTCAGACATATTTGTTCCTCCAGTTTGTTTATACCTGTTTCTGTGAGTTGAGTAGAAGTAGCATTATTGTCACTCAGTGTCTAGCCTCAACTTCTCTACCCATCTCGTGGGGATCAAGGATATTTAGAATGTTTTCTTCTCTCCATGTCTGTCAGCGCTGCCTTGGATCAAGGCTGTGTTGTGACACTACTTAACTGGGTAAAAATTTATTAGTTACATTTGCATCCACGTAACCATGGGGTAAAATTGTTGGCTTATGTATTTTAGATTATTGCAAAATTATCATGTATTTTTAGGTTATTATTGTATTCTAGATTATTTTAGATTATGTATTTAGATTATTGCTATTTTTAAAACCTTTATAGAGACTGCAATATATAAAACTGTCGAAATGTATTTTTATGTCTCAACCATTAAAATTGTTGTGTTAAGCCTCAATAGTTTGTGTGAGGCAACAAACCGATCTATACTACTCCTACAATTTGCTTTTAATTTATACGAAGTATGGGAACAAATCTTTAAATCATCGTGAAAATAAGAGAGAAGAGGCTCCAATTTACCATAATGACTTTTTAGCCTGCTGTTCTTACTTGAACCTGCGTGTGTGTGTGTGTGTGTGTGTGTGTGTGTACACTTTCTTAGTGGGGAAGAGGTTTCTGTGATCTTTCCCAGGAATGTCTGTTGTAATTGGAACCTCTGCCCTCATTTATTTTTCTCCTATGTTACTTTCTCTCTTTAGATGATATAGGTGAACTGAAATAATGCTTTATTTCTAAAAACCAGCAGAAAAGGGCACTACATTTGTCCTTTTGCTGTGGTGGAGACCCCTGAGGTGCTGACAACTATGGTGTCTCCAGAGTTCAATAACATAAACATAACAGAAAAGACAGATTTCTAGGGGGTACTAAAATGCTTTGGAGCTCATTAGCCATAGTACTAATTTGTTTTCTCTTTTTTAATTTCTAGATCTGAATATCAAGGCATCAGGGTCTGGTTGTGTAGAAGTCCAAAATATTGAGTGTGATAATTATTGCAGAATTGAAACTGAGCAGGGGACTGCCATCTTACAGTCTGTTAAGGTATGAACATTTTTCTAAAAGTGTTTCAGTATTATTGTTTTAAAAAACCTTAAACTTTGAGCTGCAGTATCGAACTAGTGCTATTCGGAGTATCATGTATTAAGAATATTGAATACTATTTATTTATGTCTCAGTTCTGGCAAAAATTTTGCTTTGAAATCAGTTCTGCTCTGAAAGTACAGAAGTTGTAGCAACTTTCAAGATTTTCCTCATTTTTCCTTTAGATTTCATTTGAAAGTGTACAGTGAAACTAAAAATACATTCTTAGTATTCTTAGATCTTATTAACTTAAAGAAATTTTAGTTTTAACAAATGGTTTTCTTCCATTTATTAAAGAGTGAGGGAAATCTTTAAGTACTCTAAATATGCTTCAAATATTAGTTGCATTTTTAATGTACCAGGTAGCTCATTACTTAAGGATTAAGTAGGTATTTTTGCTAAACAAATAATTCATCTTGTTTTATAATAACACTTTTATGTTTAATTCTTAAAATTAGATTAATCTCAGCTCTAAATGATTTCAAATATGTCTCTGGTAGGTTCTGGCTTATCATTAGTACTGGTACTTCTGTATTTCTTACACTTGTATATTCGAAACACAATACTTTTGTGAACTTTGATGGCATATAACTTTGCTGAAGAGAAGTTTCATAATTGCTTTACTTCATAATTACAAAACATTTTCATTTTTAGATTCATAAACACTAATTAGAATGATTAATTTGATGCATTTAAGATTTTTGGGTTTGATTTGTATTTCTCTGATGGCAAGTGATGCACAGCATTTTCTCATGTGCTTGTTGGAATATAAAAAATAGTGAAAAGGAATAAAGGGAAAAGGAGAGAAAATGAGTGGGAAATATCAGTGAGGGTGACAGCACATGAGAGACTCCTTACTGGTAAACAAACAAGGGGTGGTGGAAACGGAGGTGGGCGGGGGGGACTGGGTGATAGGCACTGCGGGGCACTTGATGGAATGAGCACCGGGTGTTATGCTATATGTTGGCAAATTGAACTCCAATAAAAAAAATACCAAAAAAATTTTTTTAATTTAAAAAAATAGAATTTTTTATGTCATTTGTTTATTTCACTTTTATTTGCACACCTGCCTTTAGTATCTGTCCACATGTGAACCATTTCAAATAAATTTAATTGCACAAATATAAAAGATTAAAGAATACTATATGTCCTTTTAGCAAAAGGTTCAGGTTCTTGTAAAAGATACACAACGAAGTCTTCATGTTGAGTAACTAACTGGATAATAATATTCATAGTTCCTTTGTGCCTTTAGAAATCTACTATTGACTCATCAATGCTTGATGTTCAGAAAATTCATCTGGAATATTGTCTTCTGAAATCTTGGTATCTTATATTTTCAGTTTCACAATCAAAATTAGAAGCTAGATGGCACAAACAAAGGATATTTGGGATTGGAAGAATTAATATTATTATTAAGATAGCCTTACTACCCAAAGCAATCTACGGATTTAGTGCAATCCCTATCAAAATGCTGGTAGCTTTTGTCACAGAACTAGAATAAATAAATCTGAAATTTGTATGGAGCCACAAAAGACCTTGAATAGTCAAGTAATCTTGAGAAAGAAGAACAAAGCTGGAGGTGTCACAATCCCAGATTACAAGACACACTACAAAGCTATAGTAATCAAAACAAGTACAAAACTGGCACGAAAATAGATATATAGATCAATGGATAGAGCCCAGAAATAAACCCACACCTATATGGTCAATTAATCTATGGCAAAGAGGCAAGAATATACAATAGGGAAAAGATAGTTTTTTCAATAAATGGTGCTGGGAAAATTGAACAGCTACTTGCAAAAGAATAAAACTGGACCACTTTCTTGTATCATAGACAAAAATAAACCAAAAATGGATTATAGACCTAAATGTGAGATCTGAAACCATAAAACTCCTAGAAGAAAACATAGGAAATAATCTCTTAGACATAGCATTAGCAACAGATTTATGGATATGTCTCCTCAGATAAGGGAAATAAAAACAAAAACAAAACAAAACAAAAACAAAAAACTATAGGGACTATACCAAAATGAAAAAGTTTTGCACAGCAAAGGAAACCATGAATAAAACCTTTTTTTTTTTTTTTTTAGAATGCAGGGTATTACATTTTTAAACTTCCAAATTTGAAAACAAAACAGCCTAGGTTAAATAATGTAGTTTTCCAAAGCTGAATGTGCTCATTTGGAGCTCAGTTTCTCTGCTTGCAGTACAAACTTCAGTTGTACTGCAGTACAAACAGTACAACTTCCTAAAACTCAGGCAGGAGCAGTACTGTTGTGATGATCTGTGATTGCGTGAACTGATCAATCTCAGTTGGTAACATTCCTTTTTTTTTTTTTCTTGGCAAAGGTTTAAAAATTTTTAGAATAGATGCATTTTTCTAGTCTTACACAATTTCATTCCAAATGTCTCCTGTAAACACCTTCTAATTATCTTAATGCGCTCACTCATGTTGATGTGATCAGGTACAAGGAACTTGATTTTATCCAGGACAGGAAGTTGCTTCTCACCCTTGTACTGTTCTAGTGAATGTGAGAAGATATTTGTGAATGATATATTTGCTAAGGGGTTAATATAAAAAATATTTAAAGAACTTACATAATTCAATACCTAAAAAACAAAAAATCCAATGGAAAAATGGGCAGAGGACCTGAATGGACATTTTTCCAAAGAAATCGCACAGCCAACAGATACATGAAAAGATGCTCCACATTGCTAATTATCAGAGAAATGCAAATCAAAACCATAATTAGATATCACTTCACACTAGTCAGAATGGCTAGTATCAAAAAGACAAGAAACAAGTCTTTGCAAGGATGTGGAAAAAATGGAAACCCTCGTGCACTTGGTGCAACTGCTGTGGAAAACAGTATGGACATTTCTCAGAAAAATAAAAATAGAAATAGCATATGATCCAGTAATTGCTTTACTGCGTATCTACCCAAAGAAAGCAAAAACACTAAGAAAGATATATGGACCCCTATGTTTGTTGTGACATTATTAATAATAGCCAAGATATGGAAGCCCAAGTGTCCATCGCAGATGCATGGATAAATAAGATGTGGTGTGTACACACACACACACACACACACACACACACACACACTGGAATGTCACTCAGACATAAAAAAGAATGAGATCCTGCCATTTGTGGTAACATAGATGATCCTAGAGGGTATTATGCTAAGTGAAATAAGTCAGAGAAAGACAAATGCCATATGATTTCACTCATCTGTGGAATTTAAGAAACTAAACAAGCAAAGAGAAACAAAAAAAGAAACCAAGAAACAGATACTTAAAGAGAGTAAACTGATGGTTACTAGAGGGGAGGTAGGTGGGGAGGGGATGGATGGAATAGGTGATGGAAATTAGAGTACACTTATCATGAGCACTGAGTAATGAATAGGTTATTGGATCACTATACTATATAACTGAAACTAATATAAAACTATATGTTAACTACACTGAAATTAAAATTTAAGACTTAATATATTACCATTAAAAAATTGATAGTTCTGTGGGCACTGTTCAAATATAAATGTGCTCAAAATAATCACAATTAAAAGAGCTACAGATTTTTTAAAATTTAAAAATCAGAAGCTCCTATCCTAATGTCAGTCTCTTTGCTTTTATCTTTTGATTCATCTGATAATTCTGAGAGATCTTTTTTGGTCATTTTTCTTCCTCCTCCCATTATGGACATAAAACAAACAAACAAAAAAAAAAGGTTTCTCAATCTTAGCACTATTGATATTTTAGACCAGATAATTCTTTGTTATCATGGGCTGACCTGTGCCCTTTAGGATGTTTTGCAGCATCCCTGGCCTCTACCTACTAAATACAAGTAGCACACTCCTCAGTTTTATGACAATGAAAAATATCTCAACATTGCCACATGTTCTCTGGGGGGACAAAATCACCTTTAGTTGAGAACTACCATTCAGGGCAAGTCCTTCATTTCTTCTGTTGTATTATCATTTATTAAGCATGGTTGAGAATAATTGATGAATAATGATGAAATAATTCCTAGGATAATAGCAAAATATCATAAGATGTGAAAAGTAAGAATACTAAGAACCCATAAAATATTTTAGATTTATAAGAGTCCAGTATTCTGATTATAGTAATTTTAAGATAGAATGTGTTTTATTCTATTTTTTTTTTTAAGTGAGTAAATTCTCTATTTGTTCTTTGGAAGACCTCTAAGAAAGAATACAAATCATGAAGTCCTTAGAATAGTTTAAAAAAATATTCAAGAGCTAAAATTGGGTCCAGTGGATCCTAACGGTATACCAAAGATCAAGATAATTATTCTTAAGATCTTAGGATATAACTGACTTAAATTCACAAATGGAAGCATTTTGTGAAAGATCTTGTTTAATTTTTAAATGTACAATATTATCTCAAATTAATGATTGCCTATTAATATGTTTCTTTTCCACTCATTTTAAGGACGTAAGTATATTTGATCTGTTTGATAAAATGTTTATAGCAATAATAATAGCTATTGTTTTCTGGGTCTTTTTTGTACTGTGAAACTTAACTAAACCTTCATTTAACCCGTGAATTATAATATCTCCCTTTTATCAAGGAAGAAACTCAGGCACCAAGAGATTGAGGGATCTCATTTAGGTTCATATAGCTCACAAATTAAGCTGAGATTTGAATTTTAGTCTTTCTAATTTCCAAGCACATGTTCTTTCCACCTTTCTTTACTGTTGAGTAAAATATATGGCAATACTACATTTATTCTGCACTCTTAGAGAACAAGTAAGTAAATTTTTAGACAACAGGTACATAACTCATGGGAGGCCACACCTTTGCGTTTTTTAAAAATGCAATACAGTAGCTTATACTGAATTGGTTCTGATTTATTTATTTATTTATTTATTTATTTATTTTATATATTTTTAAACATTTTATAATCTGTAATTTTTTAGAGTTAGATTAGTTTTAAATTATAACAGCAGCTCTTAATATGTTTGAGTCTTAGCTCTCATTGAAGATGATTATCTCCTTAGAAAAAGATGTACATATATGAAATTTTGTTTAGTTTCATAAGTTTCATAGACTCTCTAGAAATTCACATAAGCTTGATTTAAAGTAACATTTGTTTTGGAGGTACTCTTTTCAAAAGTTTATCAATTATTTGATGAACACTATTAAATGCAGTTTGACTTCAGACTCATGTCTCTGTGGGCATGAAGTCTACCACTGTAATATAAATAAACTTATTAAGAATGATTTACTTTGTCCTTTTCACTAAATTTTTTGAAATTCATCCCTGGGCTTTTTTATCTAAGGTTTTTCTATTTTTCCCTTTGAGTAAAGCAACCAGAAGGTATATTGTTGTTTTGAATTTAATTTTTCCCTACAGTTTAGACACTTGTCTGCTTTTGCTGGTCTGGTTGTTGGTGAGTGTGCTTTTGCTATTTTTCTTCCTCCGCTACTTACCTATTCCTTTTTTTTCTTTTTTAATAATTATGGCAGAACTGAAAATGTAAGTAATGGTTAAGGTAAAGCAAACTACTCCAAAAAATAGACCAAATATCTAGTGGCTCACATACAGCTATCGTTTATTTCTCTCTGGTGTCCAAGTGGCTCTTCTATTTAGTGATTCTAGGTGCTTTCCATCTTCTGGCTTTGCTATCTCTTACAGTCTTACTGTAATTTGCACTTGTCTGGTGGAAGGGACAGAGCACAAAGAAGGCATACCAACTCTTCTTAAAAGCACCAGTCTTGAAATTGCCAGAGCATTTCCACTTAACATTCTGTTGGCAAGAACTTAGCGCAACCCCTTAACAATAATAGAAGCTGGAAAATGTCATCTCTTCATGGGCCCAGCTACGTTGCTATTACTTTGGGGGGAAAGATGATTTTTGTAGACCTTGTGGTAGTTTTGTCAATAGTTGCCAAGTGTGAAATCAAATCTTTCTCTCCTTCCCCAACCCCCACAGCCCCTCACTGGTCCACACCCTTTTTTTTTTTTTTTTTTGACAAGGAGGCTAACAGTGACTGTTATGTATATGAACTTGAGATATTTTCTTTCTTTTTTTTGAGCTTGAGATATTTTCACCTAGAGTTCCATTTTCTGGGGTGTGTTATGTTAGAAAGTTTAATAATCAGTGGGCTGTTACCCGACGTATGAATATATCCTTCTTCAGAAGACTGGCCATCAACGTGGGTTTTGAAATCATACGGAGCTTGATTCTGTTTTTTTATATTTTGTTGTTTTCTATCACCTGATAAAGTTAACCTTTCTGATTCTTGAATTTCTTCCTCTAAAAAATGGGAAAAATATAGCACCTATTTCTGAGTTGTTGTCAAGATTAAATAAGTCATGTAAAGTAGTGAATACCATATTTGGTACAAAGAAAATGTCAAGTAATGTTAACTATTACTTTTATTAATAATGATGAACAATAATTGTTACCTTCCTTATCATTTATGTTTAATTACCCAGTCACAGTGATTTTATATTCCCAAGCCCTTTTTCAGTGAAGCTACTGGAATACCCATGTATCTTCTTTTTCTCTAATGAGTACAGATGACTGATTTTATCCCTTTAATGGCAATTGACATTCTTCCCTAGTTGATCTTATTATTCCAAACAGTGTGTTTCTATTTTATTCTTGGTTCCTTTTGCTGGTTTATTATTTAAAAAGAAATGTATAAACTGTTGGAAATTTTTTTATTAGTCTAACTAAACCAAATTTATTCTTTTTCTCTGTATTTTTTGTCTTTCAGAGTAAAAAATTACATGTTCAAACAAAAGGAGGCAAAGTTATCTGTCTGGGAACAGTTTATGGAAATATAGATATTCATGCATCAGATAAAAGTGTAAGATTGAAACCTTTTTTTATCTAGCAATTATAATTTTGTATCTGGTTGGCTCACACAGCTTGTAGGTAGATTCTATAAAACTTGTAGCATAACTTTCTTTTTTAATGCATTTTCATTCATTAGTAAATTCAGATTTGAAATTGAAGTGATTAAGTATTATACAACTTAAGTTTTAGTTTATGATTTAATACTTTTGACAGTTATTTAGTTCTTTATTTGGAATTGATAACATCTTTAAGTACTAAATGTTTATTTAATTCAAGTTCAGAAGGAGTGTTTATGATCATGGATTAAAACTGGTCATTAATACTGCCATGATTAAGATTAAAATTTTTTTATGTGTTAGATTTATTTGAGCATTTTTCCAAGACTTGTTTACTTTTCCTTTAGACAGTTGAAGGTTGAATTTCAAAACTCAGCTTTCTTAGTATTTGCCACAAGATGGCACCATTAGACAGCATTAGTGTTCTCCAAAAACTTATCCGTAGGGATTTTGGTTGTTATGAGATAGTTTGTATTTTTTAACTTTTGTCACTTTCTGTGATTTAGCATAGTTTTAAGAATATAGGTATAATTTTAAAGTATAAATTGTCACAGTCTTTTCAACATTATGGATAATGTTGTAAATCTTAGAGAAACAGGCTGGCTCCCTTACAGGAAGCCTGTGTCTGCCTATGTCTGCCTATGTTTCTGCCTCTCTCTCTCTCTGTATCTCTCATGAACAAATAAATAAAATCTTAGGGCAGCTCCGGTGGCGCAGCGGTTTAGCGCTGCCTGCAGCCTAGGGCATGATCCTGGAGACCCTGGATCGAGTCCCACGTTGGGCTCCCAGCATGGAGCCTGCTTCTCCCTCTGCCTATGTCTCTGCCTCTCTGTCTCTCTGTCTCTATGAATAAATAAATAAATAAATCTTTTAAAAAATAAATAAATAAAATCTTAAAAAATATGTATCTGAGAATGATCTAGTTCACCTTTTATTTTACACAATTTGCAAGAATCTTTCGTTATAAATTTAAATTCTCTACCAAGCTTTATTCTCAGGTAATTGGTGAGGATGAATTATATCTTGTTGGTAGGTTATTGTTGGCGTAATTAAAGTAGATTATAACAGTAACTGTTTCTACTATTGTCACTTTTATTTTCTATCCCCTTTGTCTTAGAACCTGTAGGAGACTGTTAAAGCCCAAACATTGAAGTTTATCTCTTACCTTAAGATAGAAAAGTATTGAAAGATACTGCCTGTCCTACTTGGCAGCTCTTTTAAGATGGCATTTAATTTCATCCCTTGGATTGCTATGGTCTTAGAAGTACAAAAGGGAAATTTTGTAGAACTTTGTAGCTCCTTCAAACCCTGTCCTTTAAATGTTAATTGAAACGAACTAAGTTACCAGAATATTACATTTTGACATTCAAATAAAAGTATCAAAGGAAAATTTAAATCATTTCTTAATTATTTGCTATTTTGAACATTTTAGCCACTGTGTCCACTCATTAGTTATTTATTTGTTCCAACTTCCATGGTTTATTGACTATTCATTTATTCTTTTGTTTTTAAAAAAAGATTTTATTTATTTATTCGTGAGAGACACAGAAAGAGAGGCAGAGACACAGGCAGAGGGAGGAGAAGCAGGCTCCATACAAGGAGCCTGATGCGGGACTTGATCCCGGGAATTCAGGATCAGGCCCTAAGCTGAAGGCAGATGCTCAACCGCTGAGCCTCCCAAGCATACCTATTCCTACTTTCTATTGTACTATTTTATTTCTTGCCTGATTGAGTTTTGTGTTTTATTAAAAAATTAGTCTAGATAATTCTTTTTATTTACATTATAAAGTGTTAATATTTAAAATTGCTAAGTTTGTAGGGTTTTATATAAAATGCTTATGTTACATGTTAACTCTTAATATACAGTTGTCTCAGTGGTATGCTATCAATATTTGAGAGATAGCATAGTGAATTGGTTAAGAGCACAGAATTGAGAACCAGACTACCTGAGTTCAAACCCGGGCTCAGCCACTTAAACTTTTTAACTTCATACAAATTACTTAACCTCTACGTGTCTTAGTTTTATGGAAAATGGAATAAGAGTAATGGACCTTAACTCAGAGGGTTATGAGGATTAAGTCACTTAATACAGATTAAGTACTTAAAACAATGTCTGGCACATAGTTAACTTAATATGGTGTTTACTATAATGATGATGATGAAGGTAAATGAAACACAGGAAGGATAACTTGACGAGTCCTAGATATACCAGTTAACTTTACCGAGACCTGTTCCATTAGTCATAAAATAGAGATATTATTTGTTTTTCCTATTCAACAAGATTGTAAGAATCAAAGGAGTACTGTAAACATTTAACAGCATTTTTAATATGTCATTTTAAACGGAGTGGCTGTTTTTAAAAATATTATCATTAATTTTAGTATCCTAAGTTTAGTACAGAGAAGATAGGAATTCATTTCTTCTAATGGTTGGATGAATTGGTGACGTAGTTGTCAGTTGACCTCTCTTAGTTTGGGCTACAAAGTCACCGTGCTTCCTTAAAGTTTGATTTTCATTATATGTAATGTTCATTTATAACAACTAAACTTATGAAAAATTTTCCTTCTTATGTAGAAAAGAAAATTAATTTATAGCAATATCTCTGTCAAGAAGGTATTAATTTTTGGATCTACTTTTGTATCTTTCTTTAAATAGCTACTTCTGTTAAAAGCAAGCTATACAACTTAATCCAAAGAGTCTATTTATGACTTTTTGTTCCATTAGCACTAATAACTATATGCAAGAGCTTCAACATTTTGCTATAAACTATGGTGTCCTAGCTTTAATTATTCTAGTTAGTATCTGATATAGTGCATTATATGTGGTCCTCAGGGAATTTTGAATTTCATTTCTTTGAAATTAATTTTATGTAATGATTGGTTAAAATAACTGTATTATTGTAGTGGGGAAGGTGTTGTATTTTCACTTGCTTTCTTTTGCTTTGGTGCAACAGGAGGGTATTGTTCTATAAGGAAAAATATTTAGTGTTTAATGAACAAAATAAATCCTTGACCGTTTCCAGATACTCCTAAGAAGTCTCTTAAACGCTTTATTTGGTTGTAGGGAGACCCTAATCAAAAGTGCTCCTTTGCCAATTTAATTAATTTTCAAATATTTCAATATTTATATTTTTTTAATCCCCTAAACCAGTCTGATTATCTATAAAAAGCTAGAGTTGTTGTCTGCTTAATGGAAATACTTGGTGAGTTTGAAACCATGCATAAAGCAGCTTTCATGAAGAAACTTTGTAAGGTAAAGGATAATTTTTTTCAGGAATTTTACATCTGTACTATAACACTGAGGAATACAAAACATTTGTATTCTCACAAATCTGAATGAATGTAGGGTAAAGTATCTTTTTTTGACTGAGTTATTGAAACTAGATTTAAAATAAAAATTCCTATGAATCCATAATCAGTTTAAAAGAAACTATAGATAAAAAGCAATTAGGTATATATTATGTACTTAATAAGAGTTAAAGAAGAAAGTTATATACTTCAAATCCAGAGGACAAAATCCTTCTAGTTTGCTTCCCAGTGGAACCTCTGAGTGCTTTCCTTTTTCTTTTTTGTACTTCCAAATTTTAATATTCTTGAAACTCAGTTCTTATTACATAGTATTTTGAATTTCTAACATTTTTGAAGCACATATTAGTTATGAATGACACTGGTGTTGTGTTGATGATGTATTGAAAAACAAGGGCAGCCCAGGTGGCTCAGTGGTTTAGCGCTGCCTTCAGCCCAGGGTGTGATCCTGGAAACCAGGGATCGAGTCCCGCATCAGGCTCCATGCATGGACCCTGCTTCTCCCTCTACCTGTGTCTCTGCCCCTCTCTCTTTCTGTGTTCTCATGAATGAGTAAATAAAATCTTTAAAAGAAAAAGAAAAAGAAAAACAATGATCTTTCTTTAAATACCTTAGTGTAATACTGGAATTTATCCTGGGCAAAACTGTAGCTTGCCTTCCTGGTGACTCGATTTTTATGTCAACAATTTTATATTAACATTCACTTGATGCTTATAAAACATTTAAAATTTGATAGAGATTATTTGGAGTCCTTAACTAGATATCTTTGTTTTACATTGTGCTCAATATTGGAAACAAATTCATGCTAAATTTTGTTAGGAAAGCTTAGGGATAAATACAAAATTCTTTCCATTTTTTTAATATAGAAATAGAAATCTATTTTGTTATTAGATTTTAAATGGAAAATTGTAGAAATAATAGTGTATTCACTACATTAACAGATGATAGGAGAAAATCATGATAGTCCAATAAAATCAGATAAAAGATGTAGTAAAAATTAAAAACCCATTTATAATTCCAACAGCAACAACAACAAAAAAAAAAACGAATTTCAAATAGAAGGGACATGATACAAAGGATCTAAAGGATACCTATGGCAAACATCTTACTCAGTGAGTTTGCTATATTGTAAGTTTTCCCTCTGAGAACAGGAATATGATTAGGTTGCTTACTAACTCATTGCTTTTGTTCATTATTGAATTGGAGGCCTGAGCCAGATAGGCAGGACAGAGCAGGGAAAATAGTATTAATATAAGGATAGGAAAGGAAGTAATGAAACTATCACTTGTAGGCAATATGGTTATGCATGTAGAAAAACTTTCTTAAAATCAGGGAAATGATTAGGATTAGTAAGTGAGTTTCATGAAGTTGTTGGATTTAAGACCAAATACAAAAGCCAGTTAAAGTAAAATGAAGTTTAAAAGAAGATTTCTTTTATAATAGCATTTAGAAAATATCAAATAGAAATAAACTTAAAAGCTGAAGAACTTTATATAGAATATAAAACATTATTAAGAGAAATTAAAGAAGCTCTAAATAAAAAAAGGAATTTAATGAGTCTATTCCATATTCCATAGAGAATATACTGTTGCTCACAATATTGTAATTAAAGCCAGGGAATCAAAATCAGTAAAGTGATTATGTACTGGGTAGTAACTTTTTATGTAGTTGTCCACTAACTCTGTAGGTACAGTTTTGGCTTTTTACCAGTCTTTGTTTTATAACGAAATAATTTTGAGTTTTTCTCTCAATAGACTGTGACCATAGATAAACTGCAAGGAAGTACTGTTAATATATCTACTGAAGATGGTTTACTGGAAGCCAAATATCTTTATACAGAATCATCATTTCTGTCTTCTATTGCTGGAGATATTACATTAGGAAGTGTTCATGGTAAGATGAAAGAGGCCTAATATATCAGACTCCACATAACATAAATTTTAAGAGGTGACTCTTGTTTCTCTGTAGACGAAGAATCTGCCACTAGGAACTGGCCCTAGTTAATGGCCTACTAATCATCTTTTTAAAATAATTAATTAATGGCCTAATAATCATATTTTTAAATAATTAATGGCCTACTAATCATCTTTTTAAAAAAATATAAAATGACTTATAAGCTATTCAATTTTATTTGGGCAAGAAATTAAATATTATTCTGTTATATTTGAAGGTGATAGTAATTGTGATTTTTATTGCATTTCCTTATTTATTTTTTGCTTTGCTATGCCTTGAATAGTTCTGGTAATTTGTAACTCTTCATATTTTAAAAATGACTTTTATGTAGCATTGCATTTTTGTTAATAACAGTGAAAAGACTGTACTTAATATTTGGAGTACCTTTTAGTAGAAAAGCAATACCCAGAGCAATACTCCAGGATCACACCCTGAGCCGAAGGTAGAAGTTCAACCACTAAGCCACCCAGCCGTCCCTAAATCCATTAATGTTTAATTTCTTTTGCTTTAAGTTAGATATTTATTGAACTTGGGGGGCACCAGGGTGGCTCAGTGGTTGAGTGTCTACCTTTGCCTCAGGACATGATCCTGGGGTCCTGGGATTGAGTCCTACATCAGGCTCCCCACAGGGAGGCTGCTTCTCCCTCTGTCTGTGTCTCTGCCTCTCTGTGTCTCTCATGAATACATAAATGAAATCTTAAAAAAAAAAAAAGTTTGGTATAGTTTGCTATTAATAACTTAATACTATTAATAACATACATGATAGTAAACAGATGCACCTTTTTGAGGCAATCATCAAAAAAACTCTAGGCTCTTATATTGATTATTTAAAGTGCTGAAATGGAAACAATTGCTAGGAATAAAAGAGTTTGTTCCTTATCCTTTGTTAACGCCTTTTGTATTTACTGACCTTTAATATGAAGTCTGATACCTTTTCTTGGGTGGTTTAAATTTGGGTCAGACCTAGATCCTCTTTGGGCTGTACGCTCAAGTTGGATTTCTTGAAAGCAGACTCTGAAATGGAAATTAGAGTACAGCACATTTATTAGGGAGGCGTCTTGGGACCAATGCCATACAGAGGAAGGAAGCCCAATTTCCACTGGAGAAGTTGGACTGTGATGCATCCTCAGTACCCAAGGGGAGAGCTCTGAAGCTAGGATTGTCCTCAGAATTGTCTGAAGTCGAGGTGAGGAAAGCTAGATCTTTATATACCCATCATTAGATAGATGCAAAATGTGTCATAGGAAGAAGTATGATCTTGGGCCAAGACGGCTCTTTTCAGCTAAGGCAATTCCATAAGAGGGCTGACAGCTGAGGGCTGTCTGCCAGCAGCACTCCAATCAGCTAGGAAAGTAAGCCCTCAGGTATGGAGGAGTTCTGGATGATGAATTACAGCATTCACTGCAGTTGTATTTATTGATTCATTCAACACAATATTGAATACCTACTATGTGGTATTTTCAGATACCAAGGATACCTAGTTGGGCAAGAGATGACCCCTATCCTTTAAGAACTTGTGGTCTTTATTATTTGTAATACTAGTAAAGCAATGAGAAGTAAGAGAAGGGAAAATTTGATACAGTCACCACTGTTGAAAAGCTTCCATGTTATTTAACCCTACTTTCCCCATCTGATCCTTGGCCCACACTCCGCTTTGGCTTTTCAGTGGTGGTAAATTTGTGAGAGAGATAAAAGGAACCCTTTTCATTTCTTCATCACACCAGTGCCTGCCACTTTTTAACCACCCTTTAGATAAGCCTATTTCTTCCCTCTACCATGCCCATCTTATCTCCATCCTTGTCCTAAGGGTGTCCTAATGGCATCCTTATCATTATATGGACATGCTACTGGAGTTTGGAGTGTGGAGGTGGGATGGGTACAGAAAAATAAGCAATGTTTTAGCCCTAGTAGGTGAGAAGATCAGAGTCATGGCTAGTGAGAAGAAGACCCTGTGTTTTAGATATGGGGATTTTAGTAGGGAGAGATATCTTCCAAGGATCATCCCAAATTGGAACTCTGAATATATATTGCAGTGAATTCTTTGTTCTAAATGGGGATGGTCATATAACTAATAAATTATATTTTGGCTATATTTAAACAAGCTGGCTTGTTTATGGGAAAATGTGTTGCTACCTCTAAACCTGACTTACAGAAAAAGATTTGGGAAATATATACATTCTAAGACCTGCCTGTCCAGGATTTATTTAGTTTGGCTTCCTTTCTTTCCTTAAGCAAAACTTAAGCTTATTTTTTTTCCCCAAGTAGATTTAAAAAAAATTTTTTCAAATAGATTTTTTAAAACTCAGCATACAGATGTTGTAAAAAGCCCCCCCCCCTTTTTTTTAACCACAGGTATGATGACAATATCTGTCTTTTTTGATAGATTTACCAAGTATATGAGTTTGGAGATTTTGATGTCAGTGGGTAGGTGGATGGCTTGAAAGCAAACATGTATTGAGGGCTTAAATGGGCCAGGCCCTTTGACTTAATGGACAATTGGCTGTTTACCAATTGAAGAAAGCAAAGAAATGTCTGATTGTTTGTTGTCAATTAGAAGTTAATTAATGTAAGAGCAAGGATATAATCCAGGTTTCTTGACCTTCTAGATGTTTTTAAACAATGTTCAAACAAATCTGTGTAATAGCCATGGTGAATCCAAATACCATCATTGCTTTGAGGGCTTCCTGGCCTGCTCTAGAGATGTTTTCTGTAGGCAGACAGTGCTACAACACAGATGGACTGCTTCAGCTATGTTCTATATTGTAAACTCCAGTTTCAGTAACATTTGTTATGCCTTACAACATCTGGCAAAAAATGTTGATGTTCTTCTGTACAGTGTTCAGGTTCAGCTTGGCTCCATGGAGATACTTAGGCATTCAGTTCATTCCATAAAAGTGCTCTTGCTATCTTCAATGTATGGTTTGTAAGGGTTCTATGAAAGGAAGAGTGAGCATGAAATTTATCTTGTCTATATTTTCTATTTGTTCATATACCTTGATGACAAACCAATACCCAACGTGCTTAGAGTACTGATGCCCAGTTAAAAGGATAATGAAAGCAGTAATATATCTTTTCTAACTGCTAAATTGACTCCTTTGTGTAGAGAAGAAAAAAGTCTATCCTAAATGTGTTTCCAAATGGAATTTTTAAATATAGTTAACCATATTTTTTCTAGGTAAAAAGATGAGTAAGCTACTTGACTAGTAATATTTACTATTTTTAAGGTTGGTTGACTCGTATCTATTAAGTACATGTGCCTTCTACTATAAAAGAAACTGGTTTATTCATTGATCCAACAAATATTCTCTGCTGTTCTGGACTGACAATCTAGTAGAGAATAGGTAGTTGGATAGTTTGTGTTTAGGTATAAAATTTTGTGACAGTTTACTCTTTTATTTCCTTCTAAATTATCAAAAATTAGAGTCTGTGTGAATTATATTTTATTATATTCTGCTATTTGAATATTATTTTACAAGAATTCTATTAATGCATATGTAAGATATACATATAATTATATGTATTCTACTAAATATGTTTTTAAAATATAAATATATGTAGTCTCTTGACTCTTTAGAAAGAAACAAAAGCTACTTGAAATGGTTTACTGGGGCAGCCCATCTGCATTGTGAATTTAGGAAGTCAAAAATAATATAAATAATATAATATAATAATATAAATAATATAAAATAATATGCACCCGACGTGGGATTCGATCCCGGGTCTCCAGGATCACGCCCTGGGCCAAAGGCAGGCGCCAAACCGCTGCGCCACCCAGGGATCCCCCTAGCCAAAATATTTTAAATGACTTTATCAAATTGCAAGAGGCTAAGATTGAGAGTTAGCAGTACTTTAAGGCAGGAAAAAAGCACACAAATATTAGTGGGCAGTGGTAGTCTCTTTCATGTTTTATATTTATAACTGATCTTTCTCAAACTTCTATGAATTCCTCCTTTTTCCACACCTTGGGGTATTCTCCAGGATTTCATCCTGTTTTATGGTTCTTTTGCTTCTTTCTTTTTCTTGGGCATCTTATATGCTTTGAGTCTTAACCACTCCTATATTCTGATAATCCAAATCTATATCTCTAGCTCTGACTGCTGACTTATACATCCATCTCCTTGAAAGACATAGCTAATTGGATCTTTACAGGTGTCTCAATCTCAACATTTATAACTTCTTTTATCCTACTTTTCCCCACTTCCCCAAACCTCATCCATGTGTTCCTCCTCCTCTATTTACATTTGCAGTTCTGATATTACCATGTACCAAACTCCCCAAGCTAGAAATCTTGAACTTACCCCAGATTCTTCTCTCATCTCCCACTCATCTAATTAATCACCAGGTTTAGGTAGGTTTTATCACCTAAATATTTCTTCAATCTGTCCCATCTTTTTCTTTCTAATTTCTACTATTCTCTTTAAGATTCTTGTCACCTCAGACAGCCTAGGTGGCTCAGCGGTTTAGCACCGCCTTCAGCCCAGGGCGTGATCCTGGAGACCCGGGATTGAGTCCCACGTCGGGCTCCCTGCATGGAGCCGGCTTCTCCCTCTGCCTGTGTCTCTGCCTCTCTCTCTGTTTCTCATGAATAAATAAATAAAATATTTTTTTAAAAAAAGATTCTTGTCCCCTCTTGTTTCAACTCTAGCAACAACTTTCTTCCAGTCTTTGCTTTCTTCAAATCCTTCCTCCTGACTATAGCCTATGGTTGTTTATTAGAAATGCACCATTGAACGTGGCATTCTCTTATTCAAACTTTTGCAGTTGCCTGAATGACCTGCCTAACTTTCCATTTCCCTCTTTGAACCCTATGCTTTGCCTTCCGTAATTACGTAATCTCTTACTTTCCCATATATATTCTTACCTGTTTTATACTTTCAAGTCCTTGATCAGAGCCTTTGACTATACTGATCATTCTGTTGATAGTTTTCTTAAAGTGCTTT